CCTCCCATGAAAAATACTAATGTGAAAACTGCTGTTAGTCACAATCTGTACAACAGTTAAACTTCTGTTTCAAATGGACTGGAGAGGCCTTTTGGGTGAAGAACCTTCACTTCTCAGTCACGATTTTTCCTTGATTGAAATATAAGAAGCTGAAAAAAATCTTCTTTTGTAGTCTTTCGAAAAAGTGAGGCTGCTGAAAACATTCAAAATTTTAAGTTCAAGTCTGAGGGAACTTTTAATTTGGATAACAGTCATCAAAATCCCATGCTAAACTTACGAACTCAGTTTACCCTAAAGCAGTTTTAAATTATTTGTTTTGAATGCACATATATATTGAACTATTAATTTTATTTACAAGCATTTTAGTTAAAAATGCTACGTGAAATGATTTATTTAGTGACATCTTGCTCATACCTTAAAAAGCAAAGCCATTCCTTTGACAGATTGGTCTCATTGTTTACAGTTTGTCCCTACCCTTTGTTTTTAACAAGGGTAATTCACAAAGGTAAAGCAGTAATTGTATTTTCTTATTGTGTTCTCCATGTGACTGTTTTTACTTTATTGCAGCTGCAGTCAGTTTTGAAAAGTTGCCGAGTGCTTCATCTTTAGAGGGACTTCAAGTTGCACGTGATAGAATAAAAGTTGCTCCAAAACACCGTAGACCACCCAGTAGAGCTCTCTCCAACAAGTCATCCAAGAACATGAAGGGGAATCCACTGAAACCACACAGGGGGTCCAAAACTGATCCACAAGAGTTTTCTTCCAAATCCAGTACAGTTACAGAGTCCATTGAAGGAAAGGGAAATAGTGAAAATTCCGATGTTATCAACGTTACAATATCTGAAGATACAGAAATAAAGAATGAGCCAGGGAGGGATGAAATTGTGGCTGAGTTAAAAGCAAATGGAACTGAAATTCTCAATAAGGCGTTGCAATCTTCAACAGTACTTGAAAAGAAGGAAGAGAATAATTTGATCTCCCCTGGTGACGTGTCCAAAGCCGAAGACATAATTGAAACAAAGGGTATACAGGAACAGGAGACCACTGTGGGAAGTATTGAAGCATCCATTAGAATTGGTGAAGACAATGAAGATAAAAGCTTTAATAGGAATGAGAAAGATACTTCCATTCAGAGCAAAGAAAGTGTGAAGACTCAGAAGAAAGTGTCTGAACCAAGAGAAGAAGTTCTCCAAAAATATTTCACAAGCAAAGAAACTAGTAGACCTTTTCTAGACCTTAATAAGGGGTCTAAATCACTCAATAACTTTGAGAAAGACAGTGCCATTCAGAGCAAAGAAAACCAGAAGACTCAAAAAAAAGAATCAGATCTAAGAGAAGAAGTTCCCCAGAAACATTTTGCTGGCAAAGAAATCAGTAGACCTTTTCTAGATCTTAATATGAGGTCTAAATCACTCAAGAACTTTAAGAAAACAGAGCCATCAGAGGAGTCACCTGTGAAGTCACCACTGCAAAGAGGATTCTCATTAAATAGCATTAAACAGAATGGTGAAAAATCTCCTGATCTGAAACTTGAAAAACTAGAGAAAAATAGAAAACAAGGAAAAAACGTCATTGAACAAAGTAAAAGTCTTGTTGTTAAGAATTCATCACAAATAAGTCAGGCCTGCAAAGTGCAATCCTTGGCTTTTGTTCCTGCCTCACCATCAAAGGCTTTTGATGCAGACAAAGTACCCCATAAAAAGGCTTCCAATCAACCAGCCTGGATAGCTTTAGCCAACAGAAGAAGTAAAAGATTGTCACAGTTACTTAATGACACTCAAGACAATCAGGTAAGTGATTATGTAAATATTGCCCCCAACGTCCGGTTTTGCCGGTTTTATTTTCTTTCCTAAACGCATCATAACTATTGATGGACCATTTTATATCTTCGGGCGATGAGGGTCAGTGCAATGGAGTCCCAAGATCGAGAGGTCTGGGTTCAAGACCTGGCCAGGTCAATTGTTCTTGGGCAAGGTACTTAGCTCCCACAGTGCCTCTTTCCACCCAGGAGTTTAGATGGGTACCAGCGAATTGTCAGGGAAGTCTGATGAAATGCAGGGGTAATCTTGCGATGGACTAGGATCCCATCCAGGGGGGGGGGGGGGGGGGGGGGAGTGGTAATACTCTTAGTCACTTCATGTTAGGGAAACCAATATAAGCTCCAAGTAGGAGGGCCAATAGGCTCGAGTACAAACTTTGGGGGGTGAAGCACTAAATGAGCGTAGTAATGAATTATCATAGTTGTTCAATGAAATGTATTACATGTCTATTTGATGTCAGTAAGGCATTCCATTCATACTAAGGTATACCATTCATACTAAGGTATACCATTCATACTAAGGTATACCATTTGTACTAAGGTATACCATTCATACTAAGGTACACCATAAGGTGTACCATTCATACTAAGGTATACCGGTGGAAGGACTCGCAAAGATTGTAATAAGTGAGTTTCTTCATTTGTTTCAGGTGTCACTGGAAATGAAAAAAGAGTCTGCCTCTGCTGTGATCTTACAGCCTAACAACCAAGGCGATACATCAGATCCATCTGACAAGAAAAAACCAAAATTACCAGCTAAACCAGAGAGGCTAACTAACAAGACCGCTAGTAACGATGTAACAAATGAGACAGCCAGACCAGACAGGCAGACTTGCAAGACCACTTCTACCAATGTAACAAAAGAGACAGAGAAGCGCAAAGCACTAAATCAGTCACCTTCAGGTGGAAGAGATTTGCCTCGAGATAAGTGTGTGGTATGTGGGAGGACTGTTTTCCAAATGGAGAAATGTAACTTTGACAGCAGTGTGCTTCACCGTCAATGCATCAAGTGCTCTGTCTGTAAGAGACTTCTAACAATTGGAAACTTCGTTATAGCTGAAAGCAAAGTTTACTGTAAACCTCATGGAAAATTGGTGTCTGTCTCTTTGTAAATCAGAGAATTCCTCGGTGAGAGGGATACAGAGGCATGCATTATAATTACCTCTGACCTTGTACAGCACACTAGAAACTACTGGTAGCAAATTATTCCGTACACTCGCAAATGATATACGAGATGAATCATACTTTCCTTAACTACTATAAACTGGATAATATACCACTGGTGCACCTCACTGTAGGGTTATCACCTTCACAAGTTTTCGTATGCACTACACTGCACCAGAGGTAGAGAAGTTACTGCACAGTCAAAAATGCACCCATCACGGCACACCAAATCACTGCAGGTCGAAGCGATCCATCCCTCAATGTAATTTACAACTGCTAAGTCTATTTTATTTCGATGCTCCTTAACGACCAAACGTCCTGTTTCACTTTTTGAGGACGAGACGATTTTTCTGAGTCAGCTCCTATATAATGGACAAAAGTAGTTTCTTTGAGTCCACCCGCAAAGTTATTGGTATCATCCTTACTCAAACTTCATACGACTAATGAAACATTGGTAGATATTGTAGTTTCTGCCTGTGGTATTTAATAAAACTTTAATATGCGGTAGTTCTAGCTAGTCTAATATATGGCGTTATGATGCCTTTTCTCTTTTTATCAGATAGATAATGGAGGTGTTTTCTTTTATAATGAATCAACAATCATTCGGTGTTGATATCTGTTGACGGAATTTATTAAACGATTTTATCTTCCTCAGTGACTGGGAAAGGGTCCAGCTGATCATACTTGATTCAACTAGGCATCAGTGACATGGAATCGCGGTGGCCATAACATCATGCAAAATTGTTACCATAACAATTTTGACGTAAGGTAAACAGAAACTGCGGTTGTTGTATAGACCAGCGCTGGCTTTCACTAAAAACGTACAGTCCCACTCCTAAACTGCTACAAAAAACGGCAACATTTGAGTTAGAGACAAATCTTTTCTCAGTATTAGCAAAGAGGAAAAGTATGTGTGGATGCTCAATTGAAATGGCTACTCCTGGGACTTACTTTATCTCTTGTAGTGAACAGGTAGCTTGTTCCAGTCACGGGATCGTTATATGAAGTATTTATTTTTATAATGTTATATACCGCCATAATCGATATGTAACTACTAGTAATCAAAGACCGTGAGAAAAGTTCGATTCTTGTTTCCCCATCTGTTATAGACCTCAACATAGCTGAGCACTAAGAGGCCAGAAGCTTCATGTATCGTTTTGTATCCAGATTGATTTGACACCCTGACATCAGCATCCATATTTTCTATACTATTCTCGACACATTTCCTCTGTTACTGACAAAGAGAATCTGTTCAACAATCACAGCTTCTCGGGTTGGTTATCATTTCCTTTAGTCTCGTGATCTTAGTAAATTACCTAGCAGTATTACTGTGAGGAGAAATTAGATACTTGTCTCTCTTATGGGTAAAGGGGTTAAAAGATTCTTTAAAACCTTTATCGTAACTTCTTTGTTGATAGCCACTTAATAAACTTGAACTGTTACTGTATAGCTAGTCGTTTTAATCCAGTTACTCTCAGTCGACCAGCCAACGCGACGATTGCCGTGCTTTCAACAACTACTGTCATACTGCGGGGTGGCTAGATTGGTGTCTCAAGAAGACCAACATCGATTGGCCGATCGTCTGTCCACGTTCACATGAAATCTTGCTCAAGTCCGCATTACTACTGCGTTCCACGAAAAGAGAATGTAAAGATTTTGAGCGAGCAATTTTTAGCTCCATACACCTTGTCTCCAAGCAGCTCTCGACCTGGTTTAAAATGAGGTATTTGATTGAAAACGTTTGAATTGTAGATTGGATCGTGAGATTTCTGGTATAAAAGGTTTAAATCTCATGTCCATACAAAGCAAACGACGTTGGATTATTGCAATCAGACGTTTCGTTTCATTTATAACTTTTAAATGCATATCCTGGCAGTTAACATTTTTACAGGGGACATTCCCCTGCACTCGCCTGAATGCCCTCTTGCTTACATGAACCTCTTTAAGCACCCCATTCCCCCCCCCGCCCCCCACCCAAAAAAAAAAAGTGAAAAAAAAGGAAAAAACATACATGGACTCGAAAAGTTTCCCGCTTGGGCCATGTTTCCAGGCCATAGTATCCTTAAAATTTCATTAAATTTTGAGATACTTAGAAGTAATTATTCCTCTCTGGCGCGCCTTCAAGCTTTTAATTACATGCACATCAGTCACATTTCGTCAAATAATAATTGTGATCAATTATTCCCTATTTAGCTGATCCACTTAAATTACTAAGAGCTTGGTAAAAAACTGCCGCGCGACAAATGTCGTGCCACTCTCGCTTTAGGATTTGGAATAAACCCAAGTAAGCAGTGTAGATCCATTTGTTGGGAAACAAAAGTTTTGTTTCGTTCAATTCGATGAAAATTTCCTCTTATGTTCTTTACATGTATTAGCGCTGCAGACACCTGATTTCCTGGTGCTTGGGATGTTCGTCAAGGTGTTAGCACCCAGAACCCCGTAAAATATGAATTTAGGAACCACATAAAGTTCCACAACTGTTCATCATTACCTTACTTTTTTAAATAAATTAAGGAGAAGTATTTCTCATCCAAAGCAGAACCTAGGTTCCATTTGTATATAACGTAGAAAGTTATCTTGCCACTTCAATAACAGGCTCTTCTTAGCTCCCGCCTAGAACTCGACAACACACCAGAGGGTACCCAATTTTACCAAAAGAAGTTCTTTCACTTGTCCCTGGAAAGTTCGTGGTTATTATGTACACTCTGAGCAGGGTTGAAGACCATTTTCATTGCAAGAAGTACACCGTAAGACATTGATCTCTCTTGAAATCCTTGTTTTTCTTGATCTTTTACTTCCGTGACACTGAGTGCAGTTGATATATCGAAACCCGCCGCAAATGGGGCATACACCGCTATTCCTCCTCTGGAGAAAAATTAAAAGAGAATATTACAAAAATCTTTCTCTGTCCCAACTATTGTGAAATCGCTTAGTTATCCTATGTTTAGTTATCAGGAATTCTATCTAAAAGTAAATACGCTTTTATAACTTACAAGAGAATATAACCTGTTTATAATCTCTGACTCCTTACAAAGGCCAATAAATTTTGGCTTTTGGTCAAGTCATGGTTGCGATAATTCTGCTTTGACACCAACCTAGCCGAATTCATTTGTGACACAGTCCGCTCGATAGCATACCACTCTTTTGGGAAAGGAAATCACCAGCTCTTTCTCTTATCGCCCAGACTAGAGATGGCGGCAAAAACTGACCCAACCCTTGTATGTCAGTGACTCAAGTTTCACCCGCTTGCAACAAGTAACGTTTCATCAAATCGTCTTAGCCCGACTGAGTTGAGTTGGATTAGTGAGAATTATATTCCTTAGAGGCTTTCTGTGCTCGGTTAATGGAGGAAGTTTTTGGCCACATACGGCTTACAACACATGGTTGAGACGCTCTCGAAAAAACATCCAGTCCGTTCAGACTGTAATCCGTCCCATGAAATCAAATGACTTACCTCAAAGTTTTCAAGTAAATTCTTAAGTTTTCCAGTTTCGTTTAGATGTTCAAGTTCTCCAACACCCTTTTCAAAAAAAGACACGAAAGAAAGGTCACCTTGACGGAGTATCCTAGTCACTATGAGAAGCGCTTTTTCGACGGTAGTAAAAAGGTCCGGTTTCCGCATTACTTTGGTTGGGCTCTTTAAACGCGAACTTGTCAATTTGAATTTTAAGTTCAAATTATTAGAGAGTGCATTTATTTTATGGCGAGCATAGCATTTGCAAGATCCATTTTTCGACAAGAACGACGGTATATGAGTGAGAGACTTCAAAGAGGACATTCAAACACTTTGTCCTTGACATTCAGGGCACAAACAGTCAAGGCCTCAAGTGATAGCATAAAACTAACCTCAGCATTCAGATATTTGTGATGAACTGAACAATGACTGAATGGAGCAGAACGTTCCCGCGATATTTAAAAAAAAGAATTCATAAAGTTGAGTGAACAACAATTTACATAACCTCGTGAAAGATAGGGAAGCTGTTGCTTACCCCCAAAGAAACTCCGTTCACAAACACATGAGGAACGGTGGCATTTTGAATCGCTAACCGCGTGTCTAGCTGACACTGATAGTCTTTGTGCATAAATATGTCGCGCTCATCCACTTTTAATCCTAGATTGTCAAATAATTTCCTGATGTACGCACACTCTTTCACCGTTGATCGAATTCCTCCCATCGAGGTCGTATACACGACTATCTTTCCTTCCTCGCTTTCCTGAAAATATTAAAAAGAAATGTCAAAATGTAAATACGCAACGTTAAGCATTTCTTGTGTACACGGATATAACTGTTCGCATGAATAATAAATTACACGCAAATTGCTTTGAGTTGACTTCGTACCTCAAAACTCTCTCCAACAAAACAAAGTCCTAAAATCTCTCTCCGTTCTTTGATCATATTCTTGTATCCACGAACAGTACCAGTGGGCCCAATAATTTCCTTTTTAGAAGAACTCTGAGTCGAGTGATTGCCTTGAAAGCGGCCATTACACGGGTTGTTTAGCGATGACGCTGAAGAATCTCCATTTGAGTGATTGAAAGAAAGGAGCCGGACATTATTCACTGCGCCATGTTTAACTGACTTCTTATCTGAACGTAACATTATTAGAAACTTTTAACATTCGAAGAAGACTTCTAGATCGGAAGTTTCCGTTCCATTGTTGCTCTTAGAAAAAGTTTGAAGGAAGACGACAATGTGACAGGAATAACCGTTCCTCAAATTGAACTTTGTTCGTTGCTTTGTATTGGGTCATTGGAGCGTGTCCCACTAGCCGTGCAGGCTGAGAATGCCACATTGATTGGTGAGAGCTCTCCAATTGGTCAAATCCATCGTTTTACATTTGCATTAATATATGTCTCTTTGCAAGGTATGTCAGTAGCGAAGTCAGAAGCTTACCAAGGGAAATTCAGCTGACGCAATAAAAACAAGAGTTTTAGATTAATTTTCCTCCGAAATAATAAGAATCGTTCTAAAATGTTGCAGAGGTTCCGTAAGCGGCTTATTTTTCCAAAAAATTTACTGTTCATCAGGACAAATAAATCTGAGTAGAGAAAGGTAAGGAATTATTGCGCAAGACTAAGGGCTTTAACACCGTGCGCTATTGTCTACCACCCGGCAAATTTACTATAATCTTACCACAAACCACATTTCTGACAATGGTCAACCGCAGATTCTGGGGGAAAAATGAATATAACATTTTCAACATGGTATTCTAGTTACTGTCTTAGGAATATTAGCTGTGGTCTCAATACAGTATTAACTTTGGTCTCAAGTAGAAGTTTATCGTGCTTGATAAGTACACAGTTGTTTTAAAAATCCTGATACAAAAATGAGGTCACTGAGCTTGTTTTTGAAGCAGATAAGCTCTCTTAGCGAGCTTCGGCCATTATAAAACCACCATTCTGATGACGTGCGCGCTACCCACGCCTGGAAAATATACGCAAATAGGATGCGCAATGTATACAAGGAAATTCTCTGAATTGTCTATCAAGATAGCAAGAGCGATGGCATTTCTTTACCACTTCATATTTGGTGTACATTATGGAGGTAATATGGAAGCCATAGTTTATAATTATAATCCAGTCTAGGAGTGATTGTTTGCGCAATTGAACTTACTGAAACTTGGAAAGTCGGCTGATCATCAGCCGTGTTTCAATTTAATGGAGATAAATAGGAATCAAGGGAAGATAATGGGACCACTTTTTCCTCTTGACGGGGATGAAGTGGGAAAGTCGTAAGGGAAAGAAGAGGAGGGACCTTGTCCACCACTTTTTCTCGCTGCCGCTGCCTTAATGCTGCTACGCTGAGTTAAGGTTCAGGACTCTTATCATGGACTCCCATCAATCAGAATAAGGGTGTGTTTTGAATTCCTTTCTAGATACCTTGATACCCTGAGATCCTTACGATGTGATCACTTTGGATTGGATTATCCCCTAGTGCGGTATAGTATTATTATCCCTAGTGCGTTGATCAGAGTGATTTTCCAAGAATATTAAATTGATCCAGACCAACCGCTATTCGCATATGTAGTGTAGAGGAAGTGTAGTAATCAAACTTGCGTTGTTGCGTTTGAGATCGGAGAGCGCTAGAGGAAATACAACTCCGAGCAAAAATCAGTTTCGAAAACTGGGCGATTATAATAATAGCTCGGTCTAGCATTTCAGTCCACGAGAAGACGCAAATATTTCTTGCGGTAAAAATCACAAGGCATAAGTTGCCAAATTTCGTACCATTCGATGTACCTGAGAATACGAAAAAAAGGAAAATGTTACCATCTTCATTTACATCATACTTACCCGAAAGCAAACGTATTTTTGTGAAGCTAAGTGTCTCAAGTCGTAGGCAAGTGACTCTGATGATTACTTTCACTCTGGTTGTCGAAACTTCAGTCACTAATACCAAGAACAGTCCTTCTCAGGACTACACTCACCTGGACGATCATACTACCCAATCATTCCTATTGATGTTTGTTCCTTTACAGTAACGCACCAACTTTCATAACACCGCCGCTTCTATTCTTTCTAGTCATTGTAGCCCCTAATTTTAGGCTTTTGTCGGTAGCACTTAATGATTGGGTCCTTAATGAGGGGAATGTAATTCGCTACTTTTGTTATTGCTTCGATCGCATGAAAAGCGCTCGTTGAGTCCGTGGGGATTAAGGGTGCCGATTTGGAAGATAAATTTTTGTTTTATTGTTTTACGGCTTCCGAACCGCCTACTTAAAGTGTCTAGCGACTGGTTTGGATGCGTCCTTGTCATTTCTTTCCACGTCGCGAAGGTGTTCTCGGAATCGGTCACCTAGTCGTCTTCCTGTTTCGCCAATGCATCACTTATTGCAATAATTGCAAGCTATGCAGTAAATAACATTGGCGGAGGTACACGTGAAGTGATCAGTGATCTTAATGGATCTCTTGGGTCCCGATGTTTTTGTACGTTATGAATGAAAGAACAAGTTTTGCATCGTGAGCGAGTGCATTTTAAAGTTTTAGATTGGTCATTGGTTTGAAATGAACTTCTGACCAAAAAGTTGCCTATTTTTTTTGCCACGTTTGAATGAAATAAGTGGAGGTTGCGAAAAGATAGCGCCAGTCATTACCGGCACTAGAAAGTCTGAAAAAACGCAAAGACATAGTCATTAAAGCGGCTGACAAAGGCGCAGTTGTTGTTGGCGGGCCGACCTCTACCAAAAAGAAGCTTTGCGGCAACTTTCTGACACCTC